GAAGGTGTAGCGGTTCCTCAAGACGACACTCAGTCACACTCGATCGATGCTTCTCACCAGAACAACTCAGTTAAATTCCAGATAATGTTCCACAGTACATCACAGACCAACAACGTGTTCGACCATATAATCTTCTAAACCGCGAAGGCTGATCTATATTTGTCTGTCTATAACCCTTCAGGCGGGGAAGAATGTTATATACTTACGTTGTGTTAAACTGTTTACTTGCTATTCATTAAACTAACGTTTTAGTTGCTGTTTACTTGCTATTCATTAAACTAACTAATGTTTTAGTTGATGTGCTGAAATTGCTAGAAGATTAAGGCCTATCGTCCAGCAATCCTCGTTCTCTATTTCTGGCTCAATCATCGGAATGTACAACACCAATAAGTTTACCTTGACCAGTGAGCCATTTCGAGCTGTCACACTACAGACGGAACTAATACAACTCCCAAAATCAATAAAACGCTACACAACTTCGAATCTCTCCAGTTAGATTTGGGATTGCGTGTTCACCGATTGCATGCCTGAGGAGCATTTTGCGGGCGCAAAACGCATGAACGCATGACGAAATGACTTCGGTTACCTGATCCAAAAAACACCTGCGCCTTCTCCTCTTCAAAGGCGAGGACGAGGGCGAGATGGCTCAAGTGGTTAGAACGCGAATTTACTGACCGGAAGGTGCGTGCCTCCCCATCCACGGTGGATGGGGAATGCCCTCATTCGTTTATTCTGATCATGTTGAGGCATTCATGTAAGGTGAAGTACAAACGTTTCTTCACGACAGGGGTGTGGCAACCAGTCGAATTACCCCATACAATCCACGCGGTAACGGGCAAGTTGGACGACTTAACGGTATTCCGTGTTAGTCTGTCACTCTGATACTGAAGACCCAACAACGGGACGTTACTGGGTGTGGTTACATGCTTCTGGATGCTTTGCACTCTGTTCACTCCTTATTGTGCACCGCTACTAACACCACACCACACGGAAGATTTCTTAACTTTCACCGGAGGTCAACGTATGGCAGTTCTTCTCCGACTTGGTTATCGACTCCAGGCCCAATTCTATTACAAAGAATAACACGTTCTTCCTAAGACGATCCATTAGTGGAAGAAGTGGAACTTGAAAATTGCAACCAGCAGTATGCCTGCGTTCGTTTCCCGAACGGAAAGTGAGAAACCGTTTCTCTGAGACATCTGGCACCCAAAGCACAAAATATCTCCGATGTCTAGTTAACTGAATCAATTGAAGGTGTAGCGGTTCCTCAAGACGACATTCAGTCACACTCGATCGATGCTTCTCACCAGAACAACTCAGTTAAATTCCAGATAATGTTCCACAGTACATAACAGACCAACAACGTGTTCGACCATATAATCTTCTAAACCGCGAAGGCTGATCTATATTCTCCTGTCTATAACCCTTCAGGCGGGGAAGAATGTTATATACTTACGTTGTGTTAAACTGTTTACTTGCTATTCATTAAACTAACTAATGTTTTAGTTGATGTGCTGAAATTGCTAGAAGATTAAGGCCTATCGTCCAGCAATCCTCGTTCTCTATTTCTGGCTCAATCATCGGAATGTACAACACCAATAAGTTTACCTTGACCAGTGAGCCATTTCGAGCTGTCACACTACAGACGGAACTAATACAACTCCCAAAATCAATAAAACGCTACACAACTTCGAATCTCTCCAGTTAGATTTGGGATTGCGTGTTCACCGATTGCATGCCTGAGGAGCATTTTGCGGGCGCAAAACGCATGAACGCATGACGAAATGACTTCGGTTACCTGATCCAAAAAACACCTGCGCCTTCTCCTCTTCAAAGGCGAGGACGAGGGCGAGATGGCTCAAGTGGTTAGAACGCGAATTTACTGACCGGAAGGTGCGTGTTTCGAACCCGACCTCTGCCTCTCGATTTCCCCTGTCTAGGCTTGGGCAACCTGGCTTTATCCCAGCCCTCGTGCAACCTTCGGGTGGCATGGCAGTTAGGCACCGAAGGGGCGCTACAACTGAACAACCAAACAGTAGCACATCGGCATTCTCATAACCAAACCAAAGTGACTCAAGGCATCCAGCTTTTTAATCCAGCGGTCTAAAAAAACACCGACTTCCCATCCAAACCCTCGTTTATGACAATCAGACACTGGACCACTTCCTAACCTCCTTCCGCCAAGTCGGCCACAACCAAGCCCAGATTCCGAAGGCATGGGTCCGTCCTTCATCTTGCCCACAACCTCTGGCTTCCCAGTTGCTACTACACAGGGTGTCCATTTACCTTCCATCTTATCTTCGTTCCTTACAACTACTGTAGACCCACCCATGTACCCCGTATGATCCCTCAACTCAAGTCAGTTCAATTGAACTGCCAGTGAAACAGCGCCAAGGCGCATTTATGTAGACTGCGTCAATATACATATAAGTTCTCTGAGTTTCACAGCATTATCGATGCTGTCCCCTCTAATACTGCCTACGGAATCCCGGAGGTATCGTTATTTGAGGTGTTTACGACTAACCTATTCTGTCGTTACTTGAACGTATATATAATTGGTATCAGAAATCCTGAAGGTCATAGCCGTGGATATGCTCAGCTTGAACCGTTTGATGTTCGCGCCTTCTGCATGACGCAGGAAGACACAGACTATTGACAGCATTAATGTAACTCGAGTGAGCTTTCACAGACCAGTTTTGTGTGTTGGTCCACGACATTTATTTGTGATCCTAATCCAACATCTGAATCTGCGGAGCTCACTGGGGAATCCGCCTTAGCTCACCATTACGTGTTATCCTTCCTCATATCTTTTGGGCGTTGTAGATATGATGAACGATTGTGACATCCTTTCGGGGCTTAGCTGCCGTGCCACCCGGTGGAAGCACGAGAACTGAGCTACTGCCAAGTTGCTGTATTCTAGAAAGGAGCAGTCGAGATGCCAGGATTAGCTTGGAGCCACGAAAATTCTGGTCAGTAAGTTCGCGCCTTTAATACCTATCTATCTCAAGCTCGACGTTGTACATTATATGATTACGGCAAAGCACTTAAAAACCATTAGCTCTTGACTATTAGCATATGCGTGTGACCCTGGAACTCGGGATAGGATAACACATAAGGCGCCAATCTACTGTCCATGGTTCACGAAACCTGGCTTTTCGATCCTCGCTGTCTGAGGCTGGCTTGACCGTGCCCTTCGGGCTTCGTTCGAGTTGCACGGTAGTATTGCACCGGAAAGTTGTTACAGCCGAACGATTGTTTTTTTTATTGCTGGTTGACGCTGGGCTGTGTTGATTCCAGACAGATACAAGTTATAATGTTTGCAGTATTACACCTAACTTCTGGTTTCGAGACGCGTTCCAAGCCTCATGATTGGATGCATCGCAAACCCTGAAATCAGTGCACAGTTTTATCGTGCATCATCATCATCATCATTGTCAGCTGTAAGAACCGCGTACTCGTCGTACAGTGGTTGTAGCTGCCGCAGTTTCGTTCACCGATGATTTGG